AGTTCTTCCACAGTTCTTCTGACACTGCCTTTAACTATGGTTGAAATGAGCGCGTCTTCTTGCCTCGATTTTTTCACTCATCTATTGATTTTGCGGTAAAGGTCGAGTATGAGAGTACGCAGCTCAATAGTTAAGCGCTATACGATGCACTCTTCATTGTATGCCGAACGTGAACCTTTTTGTTGTCAATGAAAAGTCTAGCAGGTTTCCGCTCCTATGCCGTGGTCTGCGGAAGCATGACCGCATTTACGGGATGGACAGCCGTTATGTCGTTATCTACCGCTTTGTACACATCACCATAAAACTAGTTTTTATAGCTGCGATGCTCTTTATATTACAGTTTTTGCTGCTTAGTACAATGTGCAAAGCGGTTTTGATTTTGCTCTATCAAAAAGTTTGCTTGCTAACTTTATACGACCTCGATAACATAGAAATCTTATCACTTGTTTTGAATTTGAATTATCAATGTTCTTTTTCAGGGTACGCGATCTCCCTCATGATGTGGTTGAGGGTGATTTCCTTGATGGCTTTGGCGGGGGTGTTAGCCGTCAAGAGACAGGATTTCAAAACCTGCGACCAGTCTGCTTTTTGCAAGAGGCATCGCGCCATTTCGGTAGGTCTAGTGATGGCTTACTACTAGCTTTTCTGCTACCTTCTATCGTTGCTTTGAAAACGGAGCATTCTCTTCAGGAAAACACCGGATATGAAGTGGATCCTCAGTCCGTAAAACATAGCGGCTCACGGTTGGACGCTGTATTGCAGAACTCTGAGAATAGGCTATCGTTGCGGTTGTATGGATTAAACGTATGTGCCAGCTCTCTTCATTATTTTTTGAATCTTCTTTTCTGGATTTTCAGAGTGCTTGCTACAGTAGTAGCGCGTTCCCACTATATTTCATTCACGCTTTATCTTTCTTCCTCGGTTGCGCTGAGAGCAAGGGTGTTTTCACCGGTATACTAACTCAAATTCACCGGTTTTTCCGCAGAACGTTTACGGAAGTCCCGCCGGGTCACCTGC